GCAGCGTCCCGTCCGCGCGTTCCCCTTCCCGCGTCTCGGCGCGCGGCGATAACCCACGCCGCTCTGCCCGCCAAACCGAACGCGCGGCGACCCGGAGCTCGCTCGGCACTTTTGCTCTCCCGAGGCACGCGCAGAATTTCTGCTGAACGCCGCTCGACGGCCGCTCGTCTCCCAGAGGGAGGAGGCGGCTCGGACGTGAAGACCGCTGGCCACGGCCTGGTCAGCAAGAACCTTCCTCTGCAAGGCTAAGAATCCACGCTCGTGGGTGGCCATTAGATGTCCCGCACGCAAGCTGAGGGAGCAGCCATGCAACCGCTCGCTCAAGCCACTGCCGGTGGAAGGGCCTCCACTCCAGGCAGCTCGAAAGAGAGCGCCGCTAGAGAGTTAATTTGGCCTACTCTTCCACGATGGCCAGACAATCTGAGGTATGAGTACCCACACTTCACCCCACAGCACGCGACCTGCCGACCGACTGTGGCGCAACCCAATTCAACTCCTGCTGGGCGGGACGCAGGCGGTGGGCAAAGTGGAATTAAGAATCTTCATTTTTGAAAACTGCCACGCCAGGAGATGGAATCGAACCAGAGGCCTCTGGCTCGCAGCTCCGGTGGCGCTGCTCACTAAGACGCAGCCGGCAACTGTTGCTCTGTGCGCACACGGGGCCCTCAAACCCCTCAGAGGCGTTGGAGAGATTTGTAAGCCGACAAGTACCATTGCTCAGAACCAAACCTTTTCTTATCACGATTCTCATCATCAAAAGTGTTCCTCTGCCAATCTGTCAAGTCACAGTGTGCCAAGTCACAGTGTGCCAAGTCACAGTGTGCCAAGTCTGAGTGTGCCAAGTCTGAGTGTGCCAAGTCTGAGTGTGCCAAGTCAGGTTCACAGTTTGTCTATTTCCGCGTGCGATGGCTGCGGTCCGCACGTCCGGAGCGTGCGGACCGCAGCCCGAGGCGGCTTCTCACGGAGTGGCCCTCGTCTCGAGTCGTGATATCCGACGTCTCGCTCCACCTGCTGGGAGCATATTATGGAATTCTATTGAAGCGCCCCAGTCCGCAAAACGTCGGACATCGTCCCGAACAACGCACGACCCGACTCCGCGACCCGTCAACGCGACCCAACGACTCATCGGAGAGCCGCGCTCAGCAGCAGCACGACGGCGAGAAGCCCTCCACCGTAGCAGCTCTCACCAGACCTGGGAGGGCTGGTGGTCTGAGTTGACCCCAGCCTGCGCTGTTAGCGAGCACCTATTAAGGCCGGCACGGCATCGGCGAGCCGGTGCGTGTGGGACCCGATACTCCTACAGACACGAGCCAATATTTACGGCGGTAATGCGGTTTTAGTGGCGGTAGAATGATTTAATGTCAGTGAGGTCACAGGTCAAAGTGAACTCTGTCAGTCGCCCTTTGCCCGTCACGCGAGCGCTGTTTCTGTGAGCGAACCCCACCGCCCTCAACACGATCGGCAATAACCACTGTGTGGACTTACAGGTAATAAATGCATACAGTGGGGCGGCATTCCGGGCAAAGCTCTTCATGGCACATAAACATTGCACGTGTTCTGAAGGGCCATTCCCGAAACGTCGCCTATGTGTTTTCTTCTTCGTTTAAGGCCACGCGGTGTTGTTGACGAACGTGTTGAGTTGTGTTTGTGTGTGTTGTGTGTGTTGTGTATGTCTGTGTGTGTTGTGTGTGTTGTGTGTGTTTGTGTGTGTTTGTGTGCGTTTTTGTGTGTGTTGTGTGTGTTTGTGTGCGTTGTGTGTGTTTGTGTGTGTTGTGTGTTTGTGTGTGTTGTGTGTGTTGTGTGTGTTTGTGTGTGTTGTGTGCGTTGTGTGTGTTTGTGTGTGTTGTGTGCGTTGTGTGTGTTTGTGTGTGTTGTGTGCGTTGTGTGTGTTTGTGTGTGTTGTGTGCGTTGTGTGTGTTTGTGTGTGTTTGTGTGCGTTGTGTGTGTTTGTGTGTGTTGTGGTTTGTGTGTTGTGTGTTGTGTGTGTGTGTGTTTGTGTGAGTTGTGTGTGTTTGTGTGTGTGTGTGTTTGTGTGAGTTGTGTGTGTTTGTGTGTGTTTGTGTGAGTTGTGTGTGTTTGTGTGTTTGTGTGCGTGTGTGTGTGTTTGTGTGTGTTGTGTGTTGTGTGTGTGTTGTGTGTTGTGTGTTTGTGTGTGTGTGTGCGTTGTGTGTTTGTGTGTGTTGTGTGAGTTGGTGTGTTTGTGTGTGTTGTGTGCGTTGTGTGTGTTTGTGTGTGTTGTGTGAGTTGTGTGTGTTTGTGTGTGTTTGTGTGCGTGTGTGTGTTTGGGTGTGTTGTGTGTGTTTGTGTGTTGTTGTGTTGTGTGGTTTGTGTGCGTTGTGTGTGTTGTGGTGTTGTGTGTGTTTGTGTGAGTTGTGTGTTTGTGTGTGTTTGTGTGAGTTGTGTGTGTTTGTGTGTGGGTGTGTGTTGTGTGTGTTTGTGTGTGTTGTGTGAGTTGTGTGTGTTTGTGTGTGTTGTGTGCGTTGTGTGTGTGTTGTGTTGTGTGCGTTGTGTGTGTTTGTGTGTGTTGTTGTGCGTTGTGTTTGTGTGTGTTTGTGTGCGTTGTGTGTGTTTGTGTGTGTTTGTGTGTGTTTGTGTGTTGTGTGTGTTGTGTGTGTTGTGTGTGTTTGTGTGGCGTGTGTGTGTGTTTGTGTGTGTTGTGTGTGTTTGTGTGCGTTGTTGTGTGTGTTTGTGTGTGTTTGTGTTGCGTTGTGTGTTGTTGTGTGTGTTTGTGTGCGTTGTGTGTGTGTGTTGTGTGTGTTGTGTGCGTTGTGTGTGTTTGTGTGTGTTGTGTGTGTTGTGTGTGTCTGTGTGTGTTTGTGTGCGTTGTGTGTGTTTGTGTGTGTTGTGTGTGTTTGTGTGCGTTGTGTGTGTTTGTGTGTGTTGTGTGGTGTTTGTGTGCGTTGTGTGTGTTTGTGTTTTTGTGTGTGTTGTGTGCGTTGTGTGTGTTTGCTGTGTGTTGTGTGCGTTGTGTGTGTTTGTGTGTGTTTGTGTGCGTCTTGTGTGTTTGTGGTGTTGTGTGTGGTTGCGTGTGTTGTGTTGTGTGTGTTGTGTGCGTTGTGTGTGTTTGTGTGTGTTTGTGTGCGTTGTGTGTGTTTGTGTGTGTTGTGTGCGTTGTGTGTGTTTTGTGTGTGTTTGTGTGCGTTGTGTGTGTTTTTGTGTGTGTGTGTGCGTGTGTGTGTTTGTGTGTTGTGTTGTGTGTGTTTGTGTGTGTTGTGTGCGTTGTGTGTGGTTTGTGTGTGTTTTTGTGCGTTGTGTGTGTTTGTTGTGTGTTGTGTGCGTTGTGTGCGTTGTGTGTGTTTGGTGTGTTGTGTGCGTTGTGTGTGTTTGTGTGTGTGTGGTGTGTTTGTGTGCGTGTGTGTGTTTGTGTGTGTTTGTGTGCGTTGTGTGTGTTTGTGTGTGTTTGTGTGCGTTGTGTGTGTTTGTGTGTGTTGTGTGCGTTGTGTTGTGTGTTTGTGTGTGTTGTGTGTGTGTTGTGTGTGTCTGAGTGTGTTTGTGTGCGTTGTGTGTGTTTGTGTGTGTTGTGTGTGTTTGTGTGCGTTGTGTGTGTTTGTGTGTGTTTGTGTGTGTTTGTGTGCGTTGTGTGTGTTTGTGTTTTTGTGTGTGTTGTGTGCGTTGTGTGTGTTTGTGTGTGTTGTGTGCGTTGTGTGTGTTTGTGTGTGTTTGTGTGCGTTGTGTGTGTTTGTGTGTGTTGTGTGCGTTGTGTGTGTTGTGTGCGTTGTGTGTGTTTGTGTGTGTTTGTGTGCGTTGTGTGTGTTTGTGTGTGTTGTGTGCGTTGTGTGTGTTTGTGTGTGTTTGTGTGCGTTGTGTGTGTTTGTGTGTGTTGTGTGCGTTGTGTGTGTTTGTGTGTGTTGTGTGTGTTTGTGTGTGTTGTGTGCGTTGTGTGTGTTTGTGTGTGTTTGTGTGCGTTGTGTGTGTTTGTGTGTGTTGTGTGCGTTGTGTGCGTTGTGTGTTTGTGTGTGTTGTGTGCGTTGTGTGTGTTTGTGTGTTTGTTGTGTGTGTTTGTGTGTTTGTGTGTGTGTTGTGTGTGTTTGTGTGTGTTTGTGTGTGTTTGTGTGTGTGTTTGTGTTGTGTGTGTTGTGTGTATTTGTGTGTGTTTGTGTGTGTTGTGTGTTGTGCGAGTTGTGTGTGTCTGTGTGTTTGTGTGTGTGTTGGTGTGTTTGTGTGAGTTTGTTTGTGTTTGTGTGTGTTGTGTGTGTTTGTGTGAGTTTGTGTGTTTGTGTGTGTTGTGTGTGTTTGTGTGAGTTGGTGTGTGTTTGTGTGTGTGTTGTGTGTTTGTCTGTGTTGTTGTTTGTGTGTGTGGTGTGTGTGTGTTGTGTGTGTTGTGTGAGTTGTGTGTGTGTGTTGTGTGTGTGCTGTGTGTGTTGTGTGTGTTTGTGTATGTTGTGTTTGTGTTGTGTTGTGTGTGTTTGTGGTGTGTGTTGTGTTGTGTGTTTGTGGTGTGTGTTGTGTGTGAGTTGTGGTTTTGTGAGTTTGTGTGTGTGTTGTGTGAGTTGTGTGGTGTGTGTTGTGTGAGTTGTATGTGTTGTGTGTGTGTGTGAGTTGTGTGTTTGTGTGTGTTGTGTGAGTTGTGTGTGTGTTGTGTGTGTTGTGTGAGTTGTGGTTGTGTGAGTTGTGTGTGTGTTGTGTGTGTGTGCTGTGTGAGTTGTGTGTGTGTTTGTGTGTGAGTTGTTAACCGCCCTTGTGCACTACCCCAAAGCAGCGGCGAGAGGGAGGCGGGGGCGGGGCGCGGTGGGGCAGCGCGCGTCTCCACGGCGCGCGCACAGCGAGAGGTGGGGGGCATGGGGGAGGTGGGGGGGGCATGGGGGAGGTGGGGGGAGGTGGGGGGGCATGGGGGAGGTGGGGGGAGGTGGGGGGGGGGGCCTGGGGGGGGGGCATGGGGGAGGTGGGGGGAGGTGGGGGGGGGGCATGGGGGAGGTGGGGGGAGGTGGGGGGGGGGCCTGGGGGGGGGGGGGGCATGGGGGAGGTGGGGGGGGGCATGGGGGAGGTGGGGGGGCACTCACCGAGTACTCGCGCGTGAATCCGTCCTGCCCGCTCTCGTCTCTCACCCCCACCTGCTGCAGGCGGCACGTCAGGGCGTGCAGCACCCGCTCCAGCTCCAGCTGCTGCTGCTCCAGCTCCAGCTGCTGCTGCTCCAGCTCCAGCTGCTGGCTCATCGCAGCAGCCCGGACCCCACGGGAGGAGCGCAGCCCCGAGCAGTCCCCACGCTGCGTCTCGCTCCACCTCCTCCTCCTCCACCTCCTGCTACTGCTGCTGCTGTTGCCTGCACGGCTGCACTCACTCGCCGTGCCTGCTGCTGCTACCGTGGTCGTTGTCGTTGTAGTCGTTCAAGAGCTGGGGGGCACGGGCGGGCGAAGTGACTGGCTCGCTCGTGAAATGTCGCGACTGCGGCTTCCTCGTGTGAGCTGAGCGCGAGGAGGAGGAGGTGATGGGGGCGGTGCGGAGAGCGGCGGGCGACGAGGAGGAGGAGGAAGCTGAAAGTTGAGATGTGGAGGGGAAGCAACGGCGGCGGTGGTGGTGGTGGAGGTGGTGGTGGTAAAGGTGGTGGCGGAGGTGGTGGTGGTGGCGGTGAAGGTGGTGGCTGTGAAGGTGGTGGAGGTGGTGGTGGTGGCGGTAAAGGTGGTGGCGGTGAAGGTGGTGGAGGTGGTGATGGTGATGGTGGAGGAGTTGCAAGGAGTCGTGGTGCGATGGTTTGGGCGCTGCTAACCGGGCGAGCCGGGTTCGATTCCCACTCACGGCCACCAACGCCGGTGACGATTGTCCGAATCGGTCCTGGGCCTCCCCTAGGTGGACTCAGCCTCAAATGACTACCTGGTGCGGTGTGACCGGCCACAGCACGGCAATACCAACACTCTACAACGATTGGCTATTTATAGGAACCTGCTATCATGAAATCAGCCCTATGCAAACCATATGCAAAGCAATGAAAGCGTGCGGTCATTGCAAGCTCCACGTGGCAGCAGCCCCGACTCGCTCGCTCGGGCTGCGCGAGCCGCAGCGAGCGGCCCGCTCAGCTCGGGCCCGTCCACCCCGCGTTGGTTGTGGACCTCTCGACCCGGCGGTTGTGGTGGATGGGAACAGAACACGACCCGGTGCTTTTTGAAGTGGGGGGGGGGGGGGGGGTCACACGTAGATCATCGCGTTCTGTGACATTGCCAATCCGCTTTTGAGCTGAGAGGCGGCCAGGCTTGGCAGTACAGCAAGAAGCGTTCTGATCCAGCTTTGTGGATTTTTCTTGCTCTTAAGAGCCCTTCGAGAAGAGGGCATCTTGGCCTACTCTTTCACACTGACGAGATGTCTTGGGAGAAGTGAGAGAATACCCACATTCTACCCCACCACACTAGTGACCTGCTGATCGACTGAACCCATGTGTACTGCTGGGTGGACAGAGTCGGAGTGAGGGGCGGATTTAAGAAACGTGGCCACTTTTTGTTTCAACTGCGGTCGCTCACGACGATGTTCGTTTATGTGGCATCCTTTTCTCATCGCGTCTCAAGGCGCCGTGCGTGAAGGCAATACTGAAGGAACCGGGTGGCTAAATGAGAGGCATCGAGGAATAAGGGCTATTAGAGGAAAGCTGTGTTTTAGAACATGTTCTTAGCGAGGAATGAAAAGTATCAGCGCTGTGTGAGAGCCGTCGACGGGCACGGATCTCAGATGTCAACACTCCTGGGTTTCGGGATTGTGTGCTAAGGATCTCAGCACCTCCGATAAGCACAGTTGGTTACGTACGGTGCGAAAGAAGTTCCAACACATACACAGCGGCGTGGCTGCGTGCCCTACACACGAAGTTGAGGCAAGTCGTCGTTCACAGAGCCGCAGCTCTGCCCTTCACGCTGCGGTCTGTGACCCCTGGGGCGCCAGGCGCGCGTGAAGGTCACCAAATCGTTCCGACGACAGTTTCCACATTCCGCTCGGCAGCTTTGGTGCTAATTGGGACAATGGGAGGCTGCAGATTGACGGCCACGTCCGCCGTGCGACGACGTCACGAGGAGTCCCAGTCGCCCGCATTCGATCCAAGTTCAACTCGATTCTGTGTAACCAGAGGCGAGGACTCGGAGACGCCGAGGCTTCGTGGCCAAGCTTGGTCACCAAATTACGTAAAGCAAAACAAATAAAGTCCAGCAATTAAGTGAATAGAATTCGATGCAAAACCAACTGCGTCGTGGTATCCAAAGTTACAGGGACACAGAATAATCTGCAGCATGCGCGGTCGGCTCTGTGCATGTCTGCCATGCATTCCTTCCTGTCTATTGCAGTTGGGAAATTGCTCTTTCTCTGTTTAACACGTCCGATTTCGCGACCAATATCATCCATGATATGGGGGGGGGGGGGGGGGGGTTGGGTTAGATCGCGTAAATATAAATGTAAGGTGTGTCACGTAAACAGAACATGCCAATGCGTTACTAGTACAGCACAACGGTGTGTTGGAGAGCAACTACACAACAGTTATGATCTGAGTACGACGTTTCGCCAGTAATTACAACTAGCATCATCAGACGGACAGCCAGATCTAACAAAAAAAGCCTCTATTACTCCTTCTCTGTTGGACGACTGGGCTTTTTGACAATGCAATTTTAATGGCAGTGCTTTGGACATTTAAATAAATATATTAAAATAAGTAGAGACATTTACCAAGTGCAAATTGAGCATAATGCGTGTTGGTGTAGGAGCAGGCGAGTGCGACTTCTCTCAAAATGGCCCCGATCACAGAAACAGTAGTTACCCTGTTTGAGTGTCACCTGTCGCATGCGCTTGTTGGACGTTGCCGCTGTGTTGGAGGAGCATTGGGCCAGTACCTCTGAGTTGATGAGTCCCAATCAGTCCACGTCTCAGCCAGCCGTAACTAAACACGGGTTTACAGCATCGCGTGTCCACGGTTTCAGCCCATCCAGACAAACCCGCGTGATAAATGAGTCGTTTTCTCTCACGTACATTGAACAAGGCCACCAAGTCCACCTCCTGACTCGGCTGAAGAGACCGCGTGTAGAAACCGGTCCCTAGTTTTACTTGTGTTGAACCAATGCTGCTGAAATAATGCATTCCCAGAATGATGTGTGGCTGATTGGATGTGTAAATAAAAATAACTGCGTTTCTGTACGTGGAGGGAGAGATGCGCAAAGGAGGAGGCGATTGTCTGCTGAGTTGATTGTTTTACTTCAGTTCTGCGCGACGACTGCTGAATCGTTATTCCGTGACCGATTTAGGTGCACGACCACAACATTGCTTTGAGCCTTTTTTAGACTTGGTGGCAACAAGCGAAATCTTACCTCTGCTGAAAGTTACGCAAACACAACACCACGGCATCCACACCACTTCCTCCCTCCCACCTGTCCCCGTGGAGGAGGATGGAGCGGATGGAGATATTGATCGGCGCTGTGTGTGGAGGTGGGGAGCAATCACGTTTAGCATTCCCTTCCTTCGCCACGACTTCCAGATGCGTCCAGTGCCCGGAAAGTGTTCAGCCGCAGCCGCTGCTGCTGCTTGCCTCCCGCACCGTGTTATGTTAGAACTGTTCCAGTGACTCAACCTGTGATCTAACGATAAGCGGAGCTTTACTCTAATTATGCATCTCATGGATCATTACCTAGTTTGATGTCGAGGTTAGCAATCCCGCACGTCCGATTAGCACGGTTGGCTACGTACGGTCCGAAAGAAGTTCAATATACATATCCATTCAGTGGCCAGCACGTCTCCTCAGGTACTCATTCGAGGCTGAGTCAACCTAGGGAAAACCCAGAACCGGTTAAGACAATCATCACAAGTGCTAGCCAGTGTTGATAATTATGAGTCATGGTGGCTGCCTGATAAAACAGGTGTGGGGTTGAACCTCCACATGCCCTTGGCAAGCCACAAGTCCCCTCCATGGTACAACCGAGCGAGCACCGTTATGCATTGCAAAGAACACGGGCATTTTGTACCTGCAAAGTGCCTTACTGGATGTACACATGGTATATGCGGTATCCTATTGGATTGGTAAATGTTTGAAGGTCTACAAAATTAATTTGAAGCTTTTTTGAGGATCAGTGTTACCCCGAGTTCCTCCCACATGGCATTAACACTCACGAACAGCAAAGCATCCCAATCAATATAGGACCGCAGAGCTTGGGCAATTGTTGGTACCGCCGGTTCTGGCTGCCTCCATTCCCGCGTGTTGCCTGTGGTTTCCCCTGCGCCTCCGTGCAAAAACTGTGCCCCATTACAAATTCTGGTATTCTACTACAGTCTTAAAATGCAATTCGCATGTATGATGCCACTATATACAGTACATATATTCCATATGAATATATTACTCTTTTAATAAAACGACCGACCTAACAAATCGGTAATACTGGCGAAAGAAAGAGACCCAAGGTATAAATTGGCGCTAATGATGAGCTGACGGAAGCGCGCCAGATGATGTTGAGGGTAATGATGAGATCTCACAAACAATGCGAGAGATGTCGGCACCAAGCACGTGACCCGGGGGCTGAATATCCACTGAGGTCCATCGTCTCATTCTCAAGAAGGAGTTGAACTGAGTTCAACTGATGTTGCCCTTCTGAGGGTTGTTGAACTTAATAATAATTCCACACAGCATGGGTGCTACTCTCAAGAAGGCAGGAAGTGGCAATAACGTGAACATTATTAACCATAAATGTTTTACTTTTCCACTCGAATTTTTTTTTGTAAATTGTTCTAGCTTGCACCTTATCCTGAAATGGTTGTGCGTTAAATATTGGAAATGTTTCATGAAAGATTTGCCAATTAAATTTGTTTTTTGTGGTGAATTCCAAATCACTGATATTGAAGTAAAGGTCAATGAAGCTGATAAAATATTACATACAACGCACATACACACTCTTTGGTTCTTTCGGTAGTCACGTAGGTAGAAAAAATAATAGATCACGACGTTTCGACCGCAACAACAAGCAATCGTCATCAGGTGACTGCCACGACAATGGTGTTGTGTAGCAGCAGCAGCAGCACGCTGGACCCGCAGTCCACAAAGAGGTCGCCGGGGACATTCTATCTCCCGGAGCGGCAGCTGAAACAATGGTAGCGAGTTTCTTAAACCGCCACCCACAGCGCCTGCCTCGGAGCAAAATAAATGACAGAGGGCATTATAAAATATACAAGGTGGCCCAAAAGTCAGGACACATTGACTTCCTTTTGCACCGTACGTAGCGAACAATGCTAATCGGAGGTGCTGAGGTGCATCAATGTGAATGGAAGTCAGTGTGAACGTTTGTTAAAATAAATTAAATAACCCTAATGTGTCCTGAGCTTTGGGCCACCCTGTATCTATATATAAACATCCGCAGCCTCCCACTTTGGCAAGATTGCGGTCGTGAGCTACAAAAGCCAACTGCAGCGGCTGCTGCACATTATGCGATTCACGATGTGAGCAGCAGAGGGTAGTGCAGCTAAAACAATTGCTGTACTGCACTGCTATGATCCCA